TGAACGATACTAGACGTAAAGAATATTCACTTGGTTGTGCATCACAAAGATAAACTTTTCAAGGTGTGAGATTACCCAAGAAACTTTGGAAATGCAGCCAAAGAGGGCTGAAAGAGGAAAACCCATTGGGCGGTGTACTTTTTTTACAAATTCAAATTCTTGGTATCCTGTACCCGAACGTGCCATGATCCTATCGGCCATACCAGACATACAAGCAATAGTCAATCGTTACCACCAGTACCAATGGCACCATGGGGCATGCAGAAGATGAGAGACTAGGCATAAACAACGATGGCAAGAGCAACTACCCCGTCGTACCTCTCTCTATCAGAGACTGATTCAGCCAGGCGAACCGGTCAGCCTCGAACGCTCTGAATTGAGGAGCAGCAAGAAAACAGCACAAGTAACAAGTAACACAGTAACAACCAACAAATGCAGGACAAAACAGCACGGCTAACAGCTAATTCCATCAAGTTAGGCCTGCATCCGAATGTGAGTAAGACCAAGGTTATGAAGGTCAACTGCACCAACAACAGACCAGTTAAAGTGAGGGATACCATCTTGGAGGAAGTAACATCTTTTGTCTACCTAGGCAGTGTAGTCAGCATTGACGGAGGTTCCGATGAAGATATCAAGGTCAGGATAAACAAAGCCAGAGTAGCTTTCAATATGCTGAGGAAAGTGTGGTCCTCCCATGTCATCTCACGGAGAACCAAATTTAGAATTTTTAACACCAATGTCAAAGCAGTCCTCCTCTATGGCTCAGAAACGTGGAGAACAACTAAGCAAACGTCCCAGAAATTGCAGACCTTCGTCAATAAGTGCCTTAGGCGAATTTTAAAAATCAGTTGGAATGACAGGGTAACGAACGAGATGCTGTGGGAATTAGCAGGCGAGGAACCAATCATAACTCAGATCTCAAAGAGAAAGTGGAGATGGATAGGTCACATCCTAAGGAAACCGGCTAACAACATCACCCGGCAGGCACTACGTTGGAACCCCCAGGGCAAGAGAAAGAGGGGTCGTCCCAGGAACTCCTGGAGAAGAGGTGTAGAGTCCCAAATGAGAAACTGGGGCCACACTTAGGAAGATTTGCCAAGGACAGAACCCGATGGAGGACGGAAGTGGTTAATGGCCTATGCTCCAATCGGAGTTAAGGGAATATATAAGAAAACAGCGGGAAACAAGACGAAGAAGAAGATGGAATATTTGGCTGGTGATTATGGCAATATTCCATCTTTGGAACGAGAGGCTGATTTTCACCTCAGAAGACGTTCCCACTGCGGAAGAAATATTCGCTTCAGCAGCAGAATTGTATTCATTAAATTCTTCTTTATCTTCCTTTTTATGGAACCATGGGATTGCCGTCACCTTTTGTGTTTAATGCAGTTGTTGACATTGTTACTCGTTTCTTTGATACCGACCTGTCTGTAACAGTAAGTTCGTCCGTGATCGAATTTTTAACGGAAGGAAGTCGTTATCGTGACTATAGCGTACGTTATTCGAACTGTTACTTTGAAAACTTCTAAAATGAACGGTATCATCATTTTGGTGAAAAGAGATAAAATTACGCCTTACGGTGACCATAGACTTCAACAGATCAATGCTGATTGAAAAAATCATCACCCACCGAAATGGCTCTGCTAGGGCTAGGAATAAGACTTAGAGAAAACTGCATGATCGGGATCGGGATTGGCCGGTATAAACCGTCGGGATTACGGGATTGTGATAATTTGAGTCGGGATCGCGGGATCGAAGAACCCTATTGGGGGCCCTCAAATTAGTGTTAAAGTATAGGTGATAGAAAGAGCGGATTGAATGTGTTGCAAGATTCGTAGATAAATATGAAACGATTACCTCTGTGTTTCCATCAGAAGTGTCTTCTTGGAGTACTCGAGACGTGGGTATAACGGATCTCTTGAGTGGTTTACTTGCGGTAAAGCAGATAGTGAAACTGTGGCCTGAGAAGGGCTTTGGATGGCAACAGACCTTATTTCTGTTTTTTTTTTTAAGAACGGAACCCTTTTCTTCGCGATTTATTTACATATTTAGGCTTCTCGATTTCTTCTTTGATACTCATCACTAGGCTATTCTGATGTTGAACTCTTTTACTCTAGTACATTCCCGTACGCTCGCAGGACCTCAGCAATTCCTTCTTTTCTGTGCTTTTCTCTCAAAACAAATTAATATAATGATTAATTTCTACCTATACGTCTCTGACAATAATGACAGCAATCCATCGTTCCATGAAGAACAGCTTCCCGCCATTGCAGCGCGCAGGGGCTCATGGTGGATGTTTTCTCACGCATCGACAGGCAGTTTACAAGTGAAAACTTTCACGCAAAAAAAAAAACAACAACAACAGCAACAACAACAACAACAGCAACAACAACAACAACAACAACGACAGCAACAACAGTAAAAACAATTCAAACTTATCGTTGTTAATGCTCTACTTACTCCGATCAATCTCTTCTGTAAATCGCACTTCCTGTGTGGAGTCTATTGTTTTCCTATTAACCAATCGAAAAAACTGAATATTTTGTCTCCACTACACAACAAATAACAAAGTAGTGTAAACCAAATAAGTTTATTTAGGGAAGCCTGCCGAGAACCAACCCGAGGCATATATTGCCCGAGGCATACATACATACACTCGCAACTGATATACCATATACACCACCGCATCATTACCCATGATGCTCGGGCCTTAGGCCAAGGCCTTGTCGTATCTCGTGCCGACAAAATGTTCATTTCTGCCTTATTCACAGACTCAATCGTCAGTAAAACCATTAATCGATTATGCCAGAGATAGAGAATAATACTTGGGCGTGTGTAGATATGGAATTACTCTTCGAGTGTTTAACTCGATAGCTCACGAGTGAGCGCAGCGAACGAGTGAGATGTCGAGTTGAACACGAGAAGAGAAATTCCATATCTACAAGCAACCATGTATTATTTTGTTTATCATATAAACACAATAGCCCTTCACTGGGAAGAAAAGTCGACTTCATTAATGAATGAAAGTAAATGAATCAACAATTCTCGAATAACAATCATAGAGTGCGTTGGCGCTGACTCTTAAGATGGAAAAATGCGTTGAATCATGATTACAAATACAACAATGGTCGTAATTTTCGATTTACAAAATTCTCATTTATTGACTTTGTCCTTACCGACAGAAGAAGTCTTTCAGGTACACGGCCAAAATCGGCTAGTTGCAAATCTTCCAATAACAACAATGATAATAATAAATTACTAGTATTATTATTATTATTATTATTATTATTATTAGCATTATTACTATTATTTTTAGTAGTAGTAGTAGTAGTAATAGTATTATTATTTTTACTCCATGGCTCACAGGTCATGCTAGGCGCCCTTCGTTGGTAGTTTAATTTTTAGCATACAATAGGCCTTGTGTTAGCTGAAATGGTTGGCAGCATGTATTCTCTTATCAGAAAGATTTCACAACTCAGTTTTATAACTGTTCCAGGCTGTCTTGTGTATATTTGTGATTTCCATCGAGAACAAGCATGGGTACAGTGGATCAACAACTCAAAGAATGGCATTAACAAAGACAAGAAAGACAACCTCCTGAACAGTTTGCGAAACCTTGCAAGAACTTTCACAGAAGGGGACTTCAATTTAGCACTTTCCTCAAGGCCGGAAATCCTTGTATAACACCGCAGTTTATGTGATAAGTAATTATTATTTGGCAACCATACCACTGACAGGGTGCCAAAATGACCCTGGGCTCGAAATTGACTCAAGACCACGCCGTCACTGGCATAGTAAACTTAAAAGTGGATACTTCGCAAAAATGGGTTCTTTTCAACATAGTAAGCGGTCAGCTAACAAGCGATGCTCTGTAAGGTGAGGTACTTTTTTATTAAGAATTTGACTTATTATATATTCGTAAGAGCGGTCGTAAGTATTCCCATACATACTCTTATAATTTCGCCATGACTCTTATTTCTCAAGAGCCTGCGCCCAAAACCGATAACGTTTTGGAAATAAGTGTAAGAAATTACAGTCAACTAGGGAGGTGAATATTGTCTTGAAAATGGTGCAAGGGGAACAAAAAATGGCCAAATGTTATTTAGCAAAGCGGATTTCTAGTCAATTACCGTACCCAGTTGCTGGGTGCTATGATATTCCTGTAAAGGCTTACGCGGTTCAACGAATCTGTAGTTTGCGTGACAAATATTGGGTGACAACACGGTTTCGATTGCATAATCAGTCATAAATTATGAATATAACCGTGAGAGTATGGTACCCGATGATACATGCTCGTTTGTTAGGAACAGAATCTAAACAACCATGCATCCGTACGCTTTGATTGTGATCTCTGTTTTGTTCCATACTTCGTGCACGGACGGTGAGGAACCTTTTAGTTTTATATTTATACAAGTCTCGAACTCTATGCGGCGCGCACAGAAAACGCACGTTTTAATTAAGATTGAATTCAAGTGTCGCACTCGCAGAAATCTCTCACGTCAAGTGAGCATGACTTGTTGCACTCTATTCGGCACGCTCAGAAACGCACATGTCAAGCAAGATTGCCTCAAGTCTTGCACTCTATTCGGCACTCACGGTAAACGCACATGTCGAGTGAGATTGACCACAACACTCGAACTCTATTCAGCACACAGGGAACGCATATGCTAAGTAAGATTGACTTCAAGTCTAGTACTCCATTCGGCTCGCACAGAAAACGATCAAGTCGAGTGAGATTGACAACAACACTCGTACTCTATTCGGCACACACACAAAACGCTCGTGTTAAAACAACCATGCATCCGTACGCTTTGATTGTGATCAATTTTTTGTTCCATACTTCGTGCACGGACGGTTAAGAACCTGCTAGTTTTACTCATATACTGGTATGATTAGTCAGCATTTTTCGTAGTGATATCCCACATGGCTTGATCTCGTACATTAAAAATCAAGCTAACTTAGTACATCAAAGGAGTTTTAATTAAAATTACGTACGCTTTATGATTGTAGGGCAAGGTGTGAGGAACGACGATGGAAGTTACACCTTTCCTACTGAAACCATCCAGGCGACGAAAAGTCAACACAACTTAACAATAATGAATGTTATGGTACTCACGAATGCCATCATTTCGGTGGACGAAGTCCAGCTCTATATCTACGCAGAATCCGAAAATAAAAGCGGTAGCCTCGTTTCCCTACTTCCCAATTCTGCTGGAGTGTTTGAGGCTAGGGTGAACCCGATAGTGGTTGGGAATTTCGAATTGGAAGAAGCTGATATCCTTATGAAAAGTGAAGTAAATGTTACCTCAACCGGCCAGGTGCAAGTTTCCACAGAATTCACTCTCCGCCTCTCAAAGACCACACTAGGAGGAAATGCAATCGTTGTACATAAACTTGTTTTTGTTGTGACTTCTCACGACAAAAATAAAACAGAACATCGGCACGATCAAATGTATTCCCTGGAGTACACAAAGGGTAAGTACCCTCTTTAGTTGCTTAATTTACGTTGACTGCCCCCTATTTTTACACAAGGTGATTTTATGATTTAAATTAAGACAATAGATACCTCTTAACTGGATATGTTTAGATAAGTTAGATAAATTAGATAAGTACTTACAAAGTACACCCCTTATATTTAAGATTGACAAAACAAACATGAATACTACTGTAGACATGACATCAGGATGGTTTTACACTTTTTTCTTTGAGGGGAAAAATTCTAATCCCAAATGTTGCTCTTCTCATTTGCCCTTTAGTGTAATAAATGATCTAGATATAATGTAGCAGTAGAGCACTGTGTGAATAGGTTCATTGTGGCACCATATATTAATAAGAAGAACATCAAATTGGAGTGTTGCATATTGAAGGTGTGTTGTATTTCATTGGAGCTAAAACTATTTTGCCACAAATTGTTAACAAATTTATGGCAAGTTGTACTTATTATTACCTGCAGATGAATTGGAAGAGCTATTTTTAATCATAAAAGTCATTAATGTCAATTTATCAAATTAATTGTGGAGCTCGCAGAGCGTAGCCCCCTAATTATACAAAATGGTAGTAGTAACCCATCAAGCCAAAAAAATTTGGACTTACAACTGTACGACTGTATGACTGACCATACAAGGTTCTACTTTTAACATGTGTGGTCAACTGTACCATGGGCATGCCAACACCATGGTTTTGTCCAGTAGTCCAGTGGTCAGTACACTGGGCTCTGAGTCAGTCGACCCATGTTCTAGTCCTGGCTGGGGCAAGGCGTTGTGCCCTTGGGATGTGCGGGGAAAAAAAAAATGCAAGCTCCGCTTTTAGGCTTGGCTAAATCTATATATTACAAAATGGTAGTAGTAACCCATCAAGCTGAAAAAAATTGGACTTGACACCATACAGGCGTCCGTACAAGGTGCTACTTTTAACATGCGTGGTCAACTGTACCACAGGACTTTTTAACTTTGAGCTAAGGAGATATTTATGCTATCTGATTATAGGGCAAGGTGTGAGGAACGATGATGGAAATTACACCATTCCACCTGAAAACATTCAGGTGACGGAAGGTCAACGTGACTTAACAATAATGAATGTTATGGTGCTCTCGAATGCCACCATTTCGGTGGACAAAGTCCAGCTCTATATCTACGCAGAATCCGAAAATAAAAGCGGTAGCCTCGTTTCCCTACTTCCCAATTCTGCTGGAGTGTTTGAGGCTAGGGTGAACCCGATAGTGGTTAGGGATTTTGAATTGGAGGAAGCCCATATCCTTATGAAGAGTGAAGTAAACCATACCTCAACCAGCCAGGTGCAAGTTTCTACAGAATTCACTCTCCGCCTCTCAAAGACAACACTAGGAGGAAATGCAATCGCTGTACATAAACTTGTTTTTGTCGTGACTTCTCATGACAAAAATAAAACAGAACATTGGCACGATCAACATTATTACCTGAATTACACAAAGACACAGGGTAAGTACCCTCCCTAGTTGCCTAATTTTATTACCTGTAGATGAAGTGGAAGAGCTATTTTTTATCATAAAAGTCATTAATGTCAATTCATTAAATTAATATTGTAACAGATGGAATGATCTACTGAACAGTTCCTAACAATGGTCCACAAGTGGAATTTTCTCTAGGAATCACTTGCAATTGATCACTTTCATGATCAAAATATTAATTCCCTTCATTGTACTCCATACACTTCTTAAAATGTTGGCTTGGATATACCTAAAAAATTTGATGAAAGAAAGCAACAACAAAAATGCAACAAAAATTCACTAAAAGCACATTAAACAAAACAACAATTGCAACAAAAAACAAACACAGATGAACTTTTTTTTTATGTAACTTTCTGTTTCTTGAATGACTGGTTTGTCACACTTATTAAACTTAAATGGGTTTCTGGGCTTAAGAGATGATCAGTCAATGAGTGTACAAGAAGAATTTTTGTAACTAATCTTCATTAAATGTATCAACCATGGAAATGGCTATAAAAATGATATGCATTGTTTACTAGCTTTCTGGAAGTGACAATTTTGACCAACCGACCATGCATAGTTCTTTTTTACAGCAACACAACAACATAACAATGCATCTCAAATCATTCAATACCAATAATTAAAAATTTTAACTTCAACTACTCAGAAATGACATAATTAAGAAATTTATAGACTGAAGAAATGACTAACTTCATAATATTGACTTGCCTTCTTTTTTTTAGGTCAAAAATATGGTTGTTGAAAATTGCTTAGTGACTATCAACTGATTACTTGGGGGCAATTTTTATCCTAGAAGGTCTCTCTAATTTGTTTTTTCTTGTCATTGCTTTTTGATATTTTTAGGAAAAGGAACTTCAACTAATCAGGCTGTGCCAACTGCTGCAGCCACATTTTTAATACCTGTGGTAATCATACTCTGCATTGCATGTGTGGTTCAGCAGTAACACAAGAAGACTCCAAAATCATGCAGCAGATGTTGCTGAAAATCCCACCAACACATTGATGGACAAGTTAAATGAACAGTAGGAATTACCATAGTTTAACAATGAAATGAGAAGTTCCACCTTTTTATGAAAGGCAATTAATTACTAAAAACTGCAAGAGTTTATTCTGACTAACTAATACCAATACACCAATGTAACAATCAAGGGAACAGTGCTAGCACAGTTGGTTCTTGCCCCCACTCCAGGGGTTTTTCTGCAGGTCCTTTGGTTTTTCTTCCTCCACAAAAGCTAACATTCCAAATTTCAATTTGACCCGGAAAAGTGAACAAGAAAAGCTGCAAATGTCAATTGCTAAATTCCCATCTATTTTTTTCCATTTTATTTATTTATTTATTTAATGGCAAATTGCAGAGTCCACATCTTGTAAACTTGTGAATATGATTCAAATCTTTAGAAACTACTGTAAGTTAACCCTTGAAACCCAAACATCACTATGCACATTCTCCATACCGTTCTCTATACATTATTAACTGTGCTTGCAAGGAGAATTTAATCATTTCCTTTATTCTTGTGACTTAAGTTTGTGATCAGGGGTGATACTGAAAGGAGAAATTAGATGCTGGTCACTCTTTGGGGCCAAAGGGTTACAGGGTTGGTACTGTGGGCTTCCTCATCATCTTCTTATATTTTGACAGTTGATTGTCAAGTTCTCAAAACTCATGTCAAGGTGGAACTTCTTGTTTAAATTTGTTACTGGGGAGAAGTAGGGTTAAAATTACATTATAACATGTTAGTAAATTTGTCTAATCAAATTCAATTGGGTGAGTGTGCTTCATATTCCTTGGTATGAAGCCCCTTGGGAAGTTTGGAGAGCACTCAAGAAGCCAGAGTTGCTCTTGGCTATGCCTCAAGCAACTCTCATGCATCTTTTGTGCTCTCCAAACTTCCCGTGTGCTTCATATCTCAATGAATGCACACTGACATATGAACCAATTGTTAAAGGCTCCAAGGCTCAGGGTTGATTTTTAGAAATACTTCAATCCAAATATGGAACTATTTTTAACAAAATTTCCATGCATTTTTGATACTTGATCTAGCTTGTGATTTGATTGGGAGAAACTAGATGTATAGTTAAATTTTTTAAGAGGATGACTCACTGAAACACAGGAGAAAACATGTTGCAAATCATAATTTGTCACATGGATACTTTAGTAACCATTTATTCCTGTCATGGAATGCAGTATCCAAAATATTTAAAAGTTGTTCAAATTCAAACTGGTTTTGATTGTATTATCATTATGATAAATTATTGTAATGTTACATTAGTCAAAGCTAACATAAACTTTGAGAGCAGATCAACCCATTTTTGTTTGTAGGAAAGACTTGATAATCAGTGAGTTGTCTCATCCTTTCCACCACATTTATTAGGTTAAGCTAAGGGTTACTTTAATTTAAAATCACATTAGTATGATTTCAGACTAAAGTTTGAACAGCACAAAGTGCAATTACCACTTTATTGCATCTATTTTGAAATCAGGACACTCAGTTGCTTAGTACAAGTTTTATAGCCTGATCCACTGGTATTGAGCTGGTTTCTAAAAAGTTGCAAAAGTCGTCTTATTTTCCTGAAATTTGATTGATTCTTTAAACAAGGGTTGAAATTTGATTAGTTGCTGTGCTTTAGTAAAGCTGTCTGGCTTTGGCTGGGGAAATTAAAATGGTGCAATTTGTGAATAAATAACACCGATGAGAGCCAATCAGATTTCAGGGAACACAAGTGATTTCAAAATGGATGTAATAAATAAAAATAAATGTGGTAACTGTTTCAGAATGATATAATTGTGGTCAGAGGTGAATGATTGAACTACTTTTAATTATTTATTGTCACAGTAGTTGGCTGGAATAACTTTATATGGATACTGAAAGTGTAATATATTCCTATTATCTGTGAAAATACTCAGTTGTTCAACTATGAACAAATTCCTTAAATTGTAAGAAATTTTTTAAATAGAGAAAGATGTTTTTCATCATCATGAGCATGGGACAAAAAAAAATTCTGAGTCTCCATGAGGCATCAACACCTCAGAACTCATGTTCATGTTCATGCTCAGAACTCAGATTTCATGTTCTGATGCTCTCTCATTAATATATTTTTCAAACTTCTTACAAAAAAATAGTTTGTTTTAAGGAAGAGTCAGATAAAATCTAAAGGGGAAATTATTTTGTTTTAAACAATGAAGGTCATTACTCTGCAACATTGATAATAAAAGTTATATGATAATCACAGTTGCTATAGAAATATTCTCTTCGCAGATTTGCTGCCTCTGCAATTAGGAAAATTTGTGGGAGGAAAAAGTCATTGAACTTCATGCTAAGTCAGTAAAATTTTAAAATGATAAAAAGTCAGGAACATTTTAAATTATAAAACCACCAGTTTAACACATGGACCACCATAGGCTGTAACTACATTTTTCATTCATTTTGATCTTGTTATTCAATTTTTTTTTTAATTCTGACTTTCTTTCATTTTGTTTAGACCATAATACGGTTGCTTTACTATAAGGGTTTTTATTGAATACCATATTAGCTAGATTAAGGGTGAAAGAGAAGACTGCTGGTTGCTAAATTTAATTTTATCAGCCAATAGGAAAGTCAGCGAAGTAATGTTAGATGTGGCCTCAACTTTGCTTTGAGGAAGCATCAATCATACAGTTTGTAAAATGTTTTATGTGGCACAGTTTAGCATCATCAATATCCTTTTATTTTTTTGGTTATTACTCATGATGTTAATTTCATAAGGTGTTCCATTTCAGTTTCATTTTAAAACAGATCTGGCTCACTTAATTGTTCCCAGGATAACAATACAACAGTGGAGTCAGTGGACAATGCTCAATTCAAACTTTTCTGTTGGTGATATGAATTGTAACTACAGGTAAAAGTTAGGAACACTTTCAAAGCATGCTCTTGCCTCATCTATGGGCTTGTGTATCATGCAGTGCAAAAGTTTACAGTTGGCACTCAAATTTCACCTTTCTGCACTGTTTGGGATTGACTGACAGGCATTCTCACCCAGTAAGCATGCTGTAATCATTTATTGGACATTATGTTTGATCATTTGTGCAGGACTTCATGCTGATTGCAATGCACGGTGCAATCATAAAAAACCCCTTGTTTCCCAAAAAGGTGTGCAGTGCTCACAGAGCACAGATAACTTAAGTACTTTCAATTGCTGGAGCTCAGTGGCCACAAGACACCAAACCTCAAATTGGGTTCCATACCACACAGGAACTAGGAGTATCACTACTCCCTCCTCCTGGACAGGAGCAAAGTCAATGCAGAATCCACCATCCCTGGTACCCTGGTATCCATTTCTTATCCAGGAGAGAGGCTTCATCGAAGGAGTGTCTCCCCTTAGAATATGACAATAACTGAACCATGGCCGAAATAATTGAGACCTTTTGACTCTTAGACCACAAGCAGTCCTTCCTTTTTGAGTAAAATGCATTGCGGGTAAAAAAAAAAATCAGAAAAAAAAAATATTGATGTACATATGCTACACAGAACTCTGGGAGTGAGGCACATGCAAAGTATGTACTAGTTTTCAAGGTCGTTATGAGGCCTCATTGTATTCCCTAGATGTTGTCAAACATATGATTACTTCTTACTTTCAACATTGAGAATACCATTAACTGGAGCTGCTTGCTATTGAGAGGGTCACTTTGCATTGTGTAGCATAAAATTTCAACAGGTATTGTGCCAAGGTTGTCACATGCACTGTTTCTAGAATTACCTGAGGTTTGAAAGGTAGTAGAGAGGATGGAGAAAGATTTCAATCAGGTACAATTAAGTACTTGTAAAGTTTGCTCACTCACAAGTTTGAAGGTCCAACTTGGAAGAATTACCCCTTCCTTATGACTGATGTTTTGTTTTTGTGCCAGTGAGATTAGGATAACCTTTCGAAGTTACCAACAGCTTAGACTTAGTAATAATCTAGATAAGCTTTACAAGGGTTTTTTTCCGGCAGCTTTGTGACATACTACCCCC